CTGAGGTGCAAACCCGGTAGAAGTACCCTCAGAGAACCTTGAAAAAATATACTTTTAGTTTGTACAAACATATTTCCTTCATAACTAGAAAAAATATTCATGCTTTTATATTTTCTTAGAGATAACTTGTTCACAATTTTTGACTGCCTTTCTGAGGTGATAACCCGGTAGAAATACCCTCAGAGAACCAGTGAAAAATATACTTTTAGTTTGTACAAACATATTTCCTTCATAACTAGAAAAAAATATTCATGCTTTTATATTTTCTTAGAGATAACTTGTTCACAATTTTTGACTGCCTTTCTGAGGTGAAAACCCGGTAGAAATACCCTCAGAGAACCAGTGAAAAATATACTTTTAGTTTGTACAAACATATTTCCTTGATAACTAGAAAAAAATATTCATGAGTTTATATTTTCTTAGAGATAAGTTGTACACAATTTTTGTCTGCCTCTCTGAGGTGAAAACCCGGTAGAAGTACCCTCAGAGAACGAGTGAAAAATATACTTTTAGTTTGTACAAACATATTTCCTTGATAACTAGAAAAAAATATTCATGCTTTTATATTTTCTTAGAGATAAGTTGTACACAATTTTTGTCTGCCTCTCTAAGGTGAAAACCCGGTAGAAGTACCCTCAGAGAACCAGTGAAAAATATACTATTAGTTTGTACAAACATATTTCCTTGATAACTAGAAAAAAATATTCATGCTTTTATATTTTCTTAGAGATAAGTTGTACACAATTTTTGTCTGCCTCTCTGAGGTGAAAACCCGGTAGAAGTACCCTCAGAGAACCTTGAAAAAATATACTTTTAGTTTGTACAAACATATTTCCTTCATAACTAGAAAAAAATATTCATGCTTCTTTATTTTCTTAGAGATAACTTGTACTCAATTTTTGTGTGCCTCTCTGAGGTAAAAACCCGGTAGAAGTACCCTCAGAGAACCAGTGAAAAATATACTTTTAGTTTGTACAAACATATTTCCTTGATAACTAGAAAAAAATATTCATGCTTTTATATTTTCTTAGAGATAACTTTTGCAAAATTTTTGTCTGTCTTTCTGAGGTGCAAACCCGGTAGAAGTACCCTCAGAGAACCTTGAAAAAATATACTTTTAGTTTGTACAAACATATTTCCTTCATAACTAGAAAAAAATATTCATGCTTTTTTATTTTCTTAGAGATAACTTGTACTCAATTTTTGTGTGCCTCTCTGAGGTAAAAACCCGGTAGAAGTACCCTCAGAGAACCAGTGAAAAATATACTTTTAGTTTGTACAAACATATTTCCTTGATAACTAGAAAAAAATATTCATGCTTTTATATTTTCTTAGAGATAACTTGTACTCAATTTTTGTCTACCTCTCTGAGGTGAAAACCCGGTAGAAGTACCCTCAGAGAACCTTGAAAAAATATACTTTTAGTTTGTACAAACATATTTCCTTGATAACTAGAAAAAAATATTCATGCTTTTATATTTTCTTAGAGATAACTTTTGCAAAATTTTTGTCTGTCTTTCTGAGGTGCAAACCCGGTAGAAGTACCCTCAGAGAACCTTGAAAAAATATACTTTTAGTTTGTACAAACATATTTCCTTCATAACTAGAAAAAAATATTCATGCTTTTTTATTTTCTTAGAGATAACTTGTACTCAATTTTTGTGTGCCTCTCTGAGGTGAAAACCCGGTAGAAGTACCCTCAGAGAACCAGTGAAAAATATACTTTTAGTTTGTACAAACATATTTCCTTGATAACTAGAAAAAAATATTAATGCTATTACATTTTTTAGAGATAACTTGTACACAATTTTTGTCTGTCTTTCTGAGGTGCAAACCCGGTAGAAGTACCCTCAGAGAACCTTGAAAAAATATACTTTTAGTTTGTACAAACATATTTCCTTCATAACTAGAAAAAATATTCATGCTTTTATATTTTCTTAGAGATAACTTGTTCACAATTTTTGACTGCCTTTCTGAGGTGATAACCCGGTAGAAATACCCTCAGAGAACCAGTGAAAAATATACTTTTAGTTTGTACAAACATATTTCCTTCATAACTAGAAAAAAATATTCATGCTTTTATATTTTCTTAGAGATAACTTGTTCACAATTTTTGACTGCCTTTCTGAGGTGAAAACCCGGTATAAATACCCTCAGAGAACCAGTGAAAAATATACTTTTAGTTTGTACAAACATATTTCCTTGATAACTAGAAAAAAATATTCATGAGTTTATATTTTCTTAGAGATAAGTTGTACACAATTTTTGTCTGCCTCTCTGAGGTAAAAACCCGGTAGAAGTACCCTCAGAGAACGAGTGAAAAATATACTTTTAGTTTGTACAAACATATTTCCTTGATAACTAGAAAAAAATATACATGCTTTTATATTTTCTTAGAGATAAGTTGTACACAATTTTTGTCTGCCTCTCTGAGGTGAAAACCCGGTAGAAGTACCCTCAGAGAACCAGTGAAAAATATACTTTTAGTTTGTACAAACATATTTCCTTGATAACTAGAAAAAAATATTCATGCTTTTACATTTTTTAGAGATAACTTGTACACAATTTTTGTTTGTCTTTCTGAGGTGCAAACCCGGTAGAAGTACCCTCAGAGAACCTTGAAAAAATATACTTTTAGTTTGTACAAACATATTTCCTTCATAACTAGAAAAAAATATTCATGCTTTTATATTTTCTTAGAGATAACTTGTTCACAATTTTTGACTGCCTTTCTGAGGTGAAAACCCGGTAGAAATACCCTCAGAGAACCAGTGAAAAATATACTTTTAGTTTGTACAAACATATTTCCTTGATAACTGGAAAAAAATATTCATGCTTTTATATTTTCTCAGAGATAACTTGTACTCAATTTTTGTGTGCCTCTCTGAGGTGAAAACCTGGTAGAAGTACCCTCAGAGAACCAGTGAAAAATATACTTTTAGTTTGTGCAAAAGTTGTTTCCTGATAACTGATTAAAAATAATTCTACTTTCTTTCTCTGTTAGAATTAACTTGTACACAATTTTTGTCTCCCTGTTTCAGGCGAAAATTCGGTAGAAAAACCTCCAGAGAACCAGTAAAAAATATAATTTTAATTTGTGCAAAAGTTGTTTCTTCATAACTACATAAAATCAGTTCTGCTTTCTTCCCCTTTTAGAATAAAATTGGACACAATTTTTGTCTCCCTTTCTTAGGCGAAAACTCTGTAGAAAGACCTGCTGAGAACCAGTGAAAAATATACTTGTAGTTGGTTCAAAGGTTTTTTCTTGATAACTGCATAAAAACAATTCGACTTTATTTTTCTTTTAGAATTAACTTGTACACAATTTTTATCTCCCTTTCTCAGGCGAAAACTCTGTAGAAAGTCCTTCAGAAAATCAGTGAAAAATATACTTTTAGTTTGTTCAAAGGTCTTTCCTTGATAACTGCATAAAAACAATTCTACTTTATTTTTCTTTTAGAATTAACTTGTACACAATTTTTGTCTCCCTTTCTCAGGCGAAAACTTGGTAGAAAGACCTCCAGAGAACCAGTGAAAAATATAATTTTAATTTGTGCAAAAGTTGTTTCTTGATAACTGATTTAAAATAATTCTACTTTCTTTCTCTGTTAGAATTAACTTGTACACAATTTTTGTCTCCCTTTTTCAGGCGAAAACTCGGTAGAAAGACCTCCAGAGAACCAGTGAAAAATTTACTTTTAGTTTGTTCAAAGGTATTTTCTTCATAACTACATAAAATCAGTTCTGCTTTTTTTCCCTTTTAGAATAAAATTGTACACAATTTTTGTCTCCCTTTCTTAGGCGAAAACTCTGTAGAAAGACCTGCTGATAACCAGTGAAAAATATACTTTTAGTTGGTTCAAAGGTTTTTCCTTGATAACTGCATAAAAACCATTCTACTTTATTTTTCTTTTAGAATTAACTTGTACACAATTTTTGTCTCCCTTTCTCAGGCGAAAACTCGGTAGAAAGTCCTCCAGAAAATCAGTGAAAAATATACTTTTAGTTTGTTCAAAGGTTTTTCCTTGATTACTGCATAAAAACAATTCAACTTTCTTTATCTCTTAGAATTAACTTGTACACAATTTTTGTCTTCCTTTCTGAGGCAAAACACGGTAGAAAGACCTCAAGAGTATCAGTGAAAAATGTGCTTTTATTTTGTTCAAAAGTTTTTTCTTGATAACTGATTAAAAATAATTCTACTTTCTTTCTCTCTTAGAATTAACTTGTACTCAATTTTTGTCTCCCTTTCTCAGGCGAATACTCGGTAGAAAAACCTCCAGAGAACCAGTGAAAAATTTACTTTTAGTTTGTTTAAAGGTTTTTCCTTGATAACTGCATAAAAACAATTCAACTTTCTTTATCTCTTAGAATTAACTTGTACACAATTTTTGTCTCCCTTTCTCAGGTGAAAACTCGGTAGAAATTCCTCCAGAGAACCATTGCAAAATATACTTTTAGTTTGTTCAAAGGTTTTTTCTTTAAAACTCCATAAAAATAATTTTTTTTTCTTTCCCTCTTTGAATTAATTTGTACATAGTTTTTGTCTCCCTTTCTCAGGCGAAAACTCGGTAGATAGACCTACAGAGAGTAAGTGAAAAATATACTTTTAGTTTGTTCAAAGGTTTTTTCTTCATAACTATATAAAAATAATTTTTCTCCCTTTCCCTCTTAGAATTAACTTGTACACAATGGACTTAATTTTATTGTTTCTGAATTAAATATTTATATTCTCAGAGGTTAGGATTTTTTTTGAATAATATTAGATATCATAGTAATAATAACACTTTGCTTAATGTAAACGTAGAATAAATATTTGCGTACGGGAAGTATAATACAGTAATTTATTATGATATATTTATAATTAAAATTATAAACATAATTACAAATCTCTAGTAATGTGTGGGGATTTTATTTCCTAGTCTGATAGACTTAAAGGCAGTATACCTAATTTTTTAGCTTCTAGGAGTTTAAAAATGAATAAAAAATACTTTTTCTAGGGACATTTTCATATGTGCTTCAAATTGAGGTGGATGTTTTTCAAAAGCTGAGAGACCCTGTGCTGCAGTTCTTAAGTGTATTGTTGCATACGTTGCATCCACATGTGATTCCAGAGTTTTTTTTCAAAAATATTTAATGTTATGAAGGACTTCTTCTCTATTGGTCTATAGATCTACATGAAGTTGAATTCGCAGGTACAAGAGTTCACGAAACTAAGCCAAATATTGGTAAGTAAATAAAGAATTAATCACAAAAATTTGCAATAAAATTAATATTATATAGAAATTTTTAAAATCCTTTACACGAAGAGAATATTGGAGAAAAAGTATAATTTCTGTTAAGGACTTTTATATTTTATAGATATATTACTTTTATTATTGACAGGTTTTATAAATGTGAGTCCAAAAATATATGCAACTTATCGGGAAATTGTTGAAGAATTAGGTGAATCATTTAAGAAAATTCCTAGTTATTCATATACTCGATGGCTTGTTCGACATTAGTGTATTACTGCAATTCTTAAATATTGGAAATTGATTTTTCAATTTTTAATGGTTGTTGAATCAGAAGATAAATCTCTGAAGGCTAATAAGTTACTTGGTTTAATGCAAGAACCATTAACTTTGGCGAATTTTTATTTCTTGCCGTTCACGCTGAATAAATTCAGTATTTTTAATGCTTCTTTTCAAAAGCGTGAAACAATGACTCAAAAACTCAGTCCCAATCAGCCGGTTTCTAATATTAGATTTTACAAAAATATTGTAAAAATGGACTTCTTCAAACACCCTTAATATTTTTCCGATCAGCAAGGAGTGTAAAATTTGAAAAAGCTTGTAATCAAAAAGCAGTCGAACATATAGGTAATGAAGCGCAGGAATATTTTTTATAAATTGTTAACGGGAAATTGAAGCAAGAGAAAATTGATGAGTTTTAAAAGAAAGTTTTGGAATTTTATGTTACAGCAAGTTACGAAATTATAAAGCGACTGCTTTTTTTGATCAATTTCTATCTTGTGAAAGATTCACTGGTGGCAGAAATATAACTTTTCAAAAAGTCTTTCACTTTCATAAAGATTTAAATGTTTATTTAGATGTTTCTGATTTACGAAGAAAATGGCACGCTTTGTATGAACTTCCTTCCGAAGAAAAAGAACAATTGTCTGGACTATCATTTAATGATATGTGCATTAAGATCTGCCTTTTTGCAGCAGAGGATACACTTTAAAATTCCTAAATTTAACGATATCATTAAATTTAGTTAGGACGCTTCATCCTACAAATTCAGAGGCAGAAAGGTCATTCTCTATGCTCAAGGAAGCTAAATGGAAAAAAATCGCTTGGGGGAGGAACCTCTTAATTCTACTTTGGTTATAAGATCTGCATTGAAATCTTGGAACAAAACTGCAAAAACAATGCAGATATCGAAGGATCATTTTGAATTGATGAAAAAGGATATTTATAAATTTCAGGGAGGTAATAATACAGTAGATTAGAGTAGGACAATAGGTGAAAAGTATTTAAAAATTTTAATTAACAACCATTTTTTCTGTTATAGGGTCTCGTATAAATTACAACAGGCAGAGGAGTCCACTTATATCACCACCAAGTGAACTAAAGAAAAGAAGAAAATTTTTTGTTTACAAAAATATTAATTTGATTTTTAATTATTATTTTTATTTCAGTGAGAGGCAATGTGATAAAAAATCGATGCAGCTCTCCAAAAATAATATATAAATAATAAAAAATAATAATAAATAATATTTCTTATAATATTAATGTTTTATTTTAAGCATTTTATTTTATTTTAGGTGTTAAGAAATTTATAAAACATGTCTCACAGTTTAAAAATATATAATGTATAATTACGCGAAGTGTAAAAGGTAATTTTTATAAATTTGTGTAACTTAATTTAAAAAAAATTAGTCTAAAATATAATTAACAATTAATAATTATTTATAATTTTAAGTTATGTTAAAAAATACGCAAAGCCTTTATAAAATTTTCTAAAGTCAATTCACTACTATTAATATTAAATGAAAGCATTTGATTCTTTAGTTTTAATCCTTAATCGTAACTCTTAATGAATTAAAAAATTAATTTAATTTTACGAAGTTTTTTCCAATTTCTGAAATTATGTAATATACAAAATTTGTTTAATTTACACTTATTCCAGGATTTATGTACTAAATTATTTAATTGACTTAAATAATAATTATTTATGACTTTCATTTTTCTCCAGTACCAGCATCCGCAAAGTATTACTCTTACCACCTACCCTGGTTGTTGCTCTCTTCCTATAAAAGAATTTCTCTTTTTAATTTAAAAATTAGTACGATATATAGTACGATTTAAGGTAATTTCAAACTGTAATAATCATAAAAACTACGATGACTATATTTAATTTTATCCTTAAAAAAATTAAATATTAAGTAAGAATAATTTATACCTGTTTATCGCAAATGTTATAAATACTGATTTCTTCACTAGATCCTTTACTATTGACAGCCTTAACCGTAAGCGAATAAACACAAGATGATGGATATAGGCCAGTGTATGTAAATGTTGGATATTCTGAGGAATCATATAATATTCTATTTTGTGACTCTAAATTTGAACTAGTCATTACCGATAAAAATGGTGTTAATACGTATTTCACTGTTTTTGGACTATTCTCAGGTTTACGCCATCTCAAGGTGGCTGTTGTTTCCGTAACATTCAACACCTCAATTGATCCTCTTGGACCATTAGGCTTGGCTAAAATTCAAAAACATAAATATTATCAAATCTATAAAGTAATTAAAAAAAAACAAATAAAATTACTATCAAAAGTAATTTATTCCCCAGTTAATCAAAAAGAAATGTTTCTGTTTTTAAATTTTCTGCAAAAATAAATTATCTGTTAAACGTATTTAAAATTTTTTTTTTATATTTATTCATTTTATTTTTTGTTAAATTTTTTTGAAAATTCTTTTTCAATTTCTATAAAATATTTACGATGAATAAACTTTAAAGCCTTTATATATTTGCTAATTATTTAATTCGCTTATACCTGTTGGATTATCAGTGACGATTTCTTTGGTATAGAGAGAAGATTGATTCAAATAATCATAGCTCATGGGCTCAATTTCAAATTTATATTTCCCACCAGGAGTGAGACCATTGACAATGAATTTATCATTTTTTGCTAAGACAACAGCGCATAATATACGTTTTCCAAGATTTATTTCGTGTGCGTAAATTTTATAATGATGAATTTTATGATGATGAGTTTTCACCGTCTAGACGTTCAACTAGTAGTGAATCTGTATTTAAATAACATTAAAATAGTATGAGTTTTGTAATATGTTAACAATTAATTTTTACTGATATCATGTTAATAAAGAAATAAATATAATTATACCATTGGTACTGATGGATACAGTTATAAACGTTGCAGCAAAAATAAAAAATATTATATACTTCATCGTTGAAATATCAATAAGGCAAGAAGTCTTACATATAGTGATTACTTCGGTGAATTTAAAGATTACTATAATTTAGACGTGAAACTGTATTGAGCTTATATACACCAAAAAAATGATGTAATAAACAAATATTTTTAAAATTCTAGTCAAACCGGATTATAAATTGTTAGTTTAGTTGGTATTAACGTTTAATTTTCTGACTCATCTAAGTCAAATAAATTTTATTTCGATTATTAAAAAAACACATTAAAAATCTACAGTCAGATGGTTTGTTTGTAATTCAAATTTTTTACATATTACTTCTAACAAGCGTCGTATGTTCTTTAGCAATCGAAATTAAGCATAATTACAGTAGAATTTCTATTTAGCAGATTTTAAATTTAAAATTTAAATTGATGTTTTAAATAGTGAAATAGTTTAATATTTGATTAATTAATGATTAATTAAAATTTAATCAATTAGTTAAATATACAATAGGACTCCGGTTATCCGAGCTAATGTGGACCGGACCTACCTCGGATAAGGCGAAAACTCGGATAATCAGAATTGTTATTACAATTTAACATTATTATTGTTTAAACAATTATTATTTTTTACAAATGGGAAAATAATATTGTATATATTTCATAATAATTTAAACAATTTGAATTTATTAAAAATAAACTCATATTTATAAAAAACTAAAATTAAAAATATATCTCGGATGAAGTAGACTAGACTCAGATAATACAGAATTTCCTACTAGGACTCCACCTCGGATAATCGAGACCTCGGATAAAGCGAGCTCGGAAAAACGGGGTTTTACTGTAATTAATTATTAATATTGAAATCCCCATTTCATTAATGTTCTAATTCAATTTCATAATATTTTATTTCATTTTTCTGTTTATATATATATATATATATATATATATATATATATATATATATATATATATATATATATATAGAGAGAGAGAGAGAGAGAGAGAGAGAGAGAGAGAGAGAGAGAGAGAGAGAGAGAGAGAGAAAAGTGTATATATATATATTCACTCTATATAGGTAAAAGAAATAGAAAAACGCTCAGAATGCGGGTAGTCAGGAAGAGTAGCTCTAATTAGGAAAAATTATTTCTAATTTAATTACTGTGATTACTGTTAAATCTGATTATTGAATTTTAAAGATATGTTGTTTTTTCTATTTTTGGTCCTAATATTTTTTATTTTTTTACCTATTGTTCATGTTCATTCAATTTCAAGAACTTATTTAAAAAATATTTTGTTATTAATAACATAAACAATAATTTGCAATAAATAATAATTTTGTTGTTATTAGAAAAATATTTATTATTATTGTTATTATCAATAAAAATAAAAATTAAAAAAAAATAAACAATAACCATTCTCATGCAAATGACTTTTAGTTATTGCAACATTTGCTCCCAATAGGGAATTTTGAAATTTGTCCCTCAGTTTAAAGTCAGTAGCACAAAAATTTTCCGGAATGTAGTTAGTTTCCTTCAGAATGAAATATTTGCGTTGTAATATCCATTTATGTGATTATTAGTTCTAGCACGTTAAATTTTTAAATTTTGAATTCAGAATCTTAATGAGAATCCCAGAATTTGTAGCAGAAATCTGCTAAGGGGTACAAATTTTCCTTCTGAAAAATGTAAATAGTAGAGCTGTGCAAAATCAATATTCAAGAATATAATAAAAATTACAATTCTGATGATAATAATAAGGTTTATATTTAATATTATTTTTAAAAAATATTAATTATAGAATTTACTATTATATATTATTAAGAAACATTTTTATTAAGTGAATAATATAATATGTATTTTTAAATTAAAGACATATGTAGGAGGCTTAGTAGGGCATGCGTATTTCTATTTATCCTGGCTTTTTTGGAGACGCATGAAAATCCCCTAAACTTCATATAAGAGAAATGCCATTTGACAGAAATTTATATAACAGAAATTTCATTGGACAGAATATTTACATGGCAGACAATTCATATAACAGACTTTTTATTTGACAGACGTTTGATTGGACAGAATTTTTATCGAACAGAAATGTCACTTAACAGAAATTTTATCTGACAGAATTTTCATTCAACAGAACATAAGTATAGCAGAACTCTCATTGGATAGAATATTTACACGGCAGACGATTCATATAACAGACTTTTCATTGGGCAGACGTTTGATTGGACAGAATTTTTATCGAACAGAAATGTTACTTAACAGAAATTTTATCTGACAGAATTTCCATTCAACAGAACATAAGTATAGCAGAACTCTCATTGGTCGTAATTTAACTTTTGCATCATACATTCTCATTCCTGCTATATTTTTAACTTGTCGGTAAAGTAGACGTAGAGGTCAGTAGTTGCTACTTCTTTCTCGCGCCAAAGTTTGAATATTAAATAATAAAACTAATATTTTATTTCATTATTATTGATAATGAATACCTAATAATTATAAATAAATAAAATATTAGTTTTATTATTTAATATTCAAACTTTGGCGCGAGAAAGAAGTAGCAACTACTGACCTCTACGTCTACTTTACCGACAAGTTAAAAATATAGCAGGAATGAGAATGTATGATGCAAAAGTTAAATTACGACCAATGAGAGTTCTGCTATACTTATGTTCAGTTGAATGGAAATTCTGTCAGATAAAATTTCTGTTAAGTAACATTTCTGTTCGATAAAAATTCTGTCCAATCAAACGTCTGCCCAATGAAAAGTCTGTTATATGAATCGTCTGCCGTGTAAATATTCTATCCAATGAGAGTTCTGCTATACTTATGTTCTGTTGAATGAAAATTCTGTCAGATAAAATTTCTGTTAAGTGACATTTCTGTTCGATAAAAATTCTGTCCAATCAAACGTCTGTCAAATGAAAAGTCTGTTATATGAATTGTCTGCCATGTAAATATTTTGTCCAATGAAATTTCTGTTATATAAATTTTTGTCAAATGGCATTTCTGTTATATGAAGTTTAGGGGATTTTCATGCGTCTCCTTTTTTGTTATCACTGGTTGGCAGCACTGCTTATATTCAAAATGGCCGAGAACTACTAGGAAAAAAGTATACGTTGGAAAAATGTTGAAATTTGCTGATCCCGGCGTGAATGCTGAAAGAAATCATAAGAATCTTCTGGAAAGAAATATGTTTTATTAATAATTATTAATTACAGGTAAATTTCAGAACAAATCGACATAAATTGTGAGTATATAATTGATTGAATATTTTTACATTAATATAAATATAATGTGCTTATAAATTCTGTAATTAATGTTGAATGTTCTAACACTAATTTTTGGGTTATGTGTTTTACTAATTGAAAAAAACACTGGTTTTCTAAACGTTTGTGTTTTAAATAAACAGAATTTTCTAAATGAACCAAAAATGTTTTCCGATATAATACAGTATTGTTATACTGAATGTTTGGAATCGGTAACATTTGTGTTTCTTTTTAAAGTAAAATCCGCGCACCCTTTCGTAACTTTTGAAAAGGGCACAATTCACCCTTTTTGCTTAGTAAAAAAAGGGGTAGATATTAAAAAAAGGGTTTCCAATAGTGTATTTTAGGGGAGAGTTAAGAATCAATGATTCGAAATCCCCATATGGTCTTTATTTCAATTTTATTGGTGTTTTTTAGGATTGTATTGATTCCTAAAAAAAAATTATTTGGAATTTTTCTCATTTATTTTCTACATAAAATGTTTTTTTCAATTTGTTAGTTATTACTTAAAAAATATGTTTTTAATTTTTTATTTTGTACGGGAAATTTTTTTAAAACTGCAAACAATTTTGTATGTATACAAAATAATAAGTTTAAAAAAATTTACGGACAAAATAACAATTTAAAAAAATCTTTTTCTGTAATAACTAACAAATTGAAAAAAAACATTTTATGTAGAAAATAATAAAGTAAAAAAAAAATTTGTTGACGGTAACAACAATGAAAACCCAAGAAAAAACCTATCGAAAAAGTGATGATAAGAAAAACATAAATTAAAACCAATAGTTACAATTGGCAGTGTAAATGTTGATAAATCAATTTTAGTATCGCCAACATAACCGCCGCCACTTGAAATGCCGAGAAAAATTAATTATGTTGTGCCAATTATGATTAAAATATTCTTTGTTGTTTTGTGAATTGATAGTAAAAAAATAAGAATTTTAAGTAAAAATTTTAAAATATAAATATTAAAATTTTATAAATAAATATTTTTGATAAAGTCAATGTTCGATGATTTTTTATAATCTTTGAAATTACAAAAAATTACTTTTGCTAAATATTTTTTTGTATTTTCTATAAATATTTCGTATTAATGACGATGAATAATAATATCCGTCGCGTTAGCCATAAAATATTACGAAATCAAGAATTGTCAAAATTTTAGAAAAACAAAAGGAACAAAATACGACTAACTTCAAGTATGGACAGACGGAATGAATGAATGAATGAATAGGGTAACGGCACCAGTGAAAGAACATTTAAGGAAATGCATACTTTTATCATTTATTATTTTTGAATGCAGTTATTGAAAATTTTTTTACCAATTTTTTTTCGATAGCTAATTAAGTGTAGAATGCGAAGGTCATATTTAATTTTCATAAATATAAGATGTTAATTAAAATTTTAATTAATAAGTAAAACATACCTATTTCACCAGTGAAAGAACAAAAAAAAATTTTGCTGCCACCCTGCCTTATTGTTTCAAACAAATGATTTAAAACAAATTGTAAATTTTTTAATAATTAATTAAGAAGAGGAACTAGTGAAATTCTAATTCTTGTCTAAAAATCAGAAACAAGTCAGGGAAGAATGAAATAAAATTTTTGTTTCAGCCCTGAAAAATATTTTAAAAATGATTGATGAAAAATAATAAAAATTATGAGAGAAACTCAAATTTTCATTTTTTCTTCATTTCGAGTTGGGTTATGAAAATTCAATTACTAATACAATTGGTATACTTACAGATCATGTTATCACGTCAAAAAAAATTTTTAAATTGTAAACAATTATTTGTTGATGGTATTTGATAATTTTTTAGGATATTA